ATTCTTTAGTATATTACTTGTGTGATGTATTAATGCTAACACTGTTATAATCTTTTTTTAGTATAATATGTGTGTGGGCAGAAGTGAATCATTCACTGATTGCAAACCAATGATTGTAAGATGATGTCATTGGGTAGGACTGGATAAGTCTGACTTCTTCCTACTCCATTCAAGCATGTACTAGGTATAAGCAAATTGATATTGGATTATGTGTAAAATTATGTGTGTTGTCATATCAACTGTTTTACAAGCTTGAAAGAATAAATCAAATCAAATCAAATCATACCTGGATTTTCTGGAAGGTTTCCCAACAGACACAGCACATGAAAGAAAGAGAAGAATTCAAAATTAATCGATATTATCTTGACATGCCATTAATTTTTGGAAGTCTGGCTAACACTCACACTGACTGAAAATGAATGCAAGAGATGAATGAGGTGCAGTTCTGACAGTACCAAAGCCATAAAAGCAGCCTTTTGTAATCATCATCAAAGCTAAGGTCGCCAGATGATTCATAGGGTTAAACAAAATAAACCCTTCTAATGCCATGCGATATGACATGACGCAAATGTTACTGTTTAAAAAAGTGAAAATGTGAACAGCTCAGATTATTATCATATGCATATGTGTTTACTTAAATCACATTATGTGTCACCATGCTTTATGTTCGATCATCTTAGCAGTGAGCTGGAAATAAGCCGTATTTATCAAAGCGTGCATATAGCAAGTCTGTATATTAGAGCTCCCCATATGCAGTAATCTCATCTTAATCAGTTCAAATCAAAGTTAAGCTTGTGCATAATTGTATGCAATAATCAATTCTAAATCCCACCAGTTCTGCATACAATTCCTTATTAGCAAATATGGTCTAATGCATAAATGTAAGCAATATAGTTTTTGGCAAACTGCAGTTCTGATGGCAAAGAAGATGTTCACAGGGGTGAATACCTGGATTTTCTGGACAGAGAGCGTGAACATGAAAGGGAGTTGGAGGAGGATCTAGATCTGGAGCTAGAACCGGTATAACTGCTACCACTTCCGCTAACACTCCCACTCACAGTCCGCCTGGAAGAGCACATGGAGTCAGAAAGAAATGAGAACACAGCAGGTAAGTTTATTGTCAAATTAAATCCAAAGTGGAGTCTCCAGCTCCTTGGTCAGCAATTACCACACCCAACCACATTAAATAAAACAAACACACACACACACACACACACACTATAGTAACTGATAATAAATCTGACTGCAATAATAAATTATAAGGTTTACAGACCATTACAGGGTCCATTTTCTATAACTTTAATGCCTACCACCCTCGTCAATGCCAATTCTTCTAAAGCCTTCACCAGCTGCTTCTTTTACCCTGTGGGCAATGAAAAAGTCAAGGAGGGTGTAAGAGATCTATGTTCAAGCCTACTTTTCAGGAGTGGTAGGGATGTTTTAATTATTAGAATCGTAGTTTCAGAGTCCAAAACCTACAGTACATCTGACAAACAGCCAAACACATTATTTTTCTTTACAGAAGCTGTATGACACTGTGGCATCCCCCTAGACGCTTCAGTTTAGGGGATAATCATACTCTACGTTTTGGTGCCTTGAGGGATGTAAACAGGAAGTACAATATTGGCATGGGGCCTGTTATCTACAGCTTAAGTTAGGTTTTACCGTCATTAATTTGTTAACATTTTGTCAAATTGGGACTGTTAAAAGTAGTGCAAATTAGCTATTAGCAGTTCCAGTTTGAGCCCTATGCAACAATGGAGATGAGAAGCAAAATGTAGCAGTAAGTCTCTTGTATTCTTTTAGATGCAGTGCCAATTAGAAAATGACTGAATGATCATAAAAGATAAATGTTTTTGTGAGTACAGGAAAAACTCAAGTTCTCAAAATTGTATCTCAGTTTGGGTATTTTACCCTGTTACATTACTGTCACCTACAATTTGGCTTATTGTGTAGTTAAAGCTACACTGGATAGACCCATTTAACTTGTCACAACAAGAAAAGCACAGTAAGTCATAAGTGAGCAAGCATACACAAAGCCAGGATCCTGAAACAGCTAAATGGAAGCCATGGTTTTATTTTTATTATTGTTCAAACATTTTGAGAATGCTACACCAACACAGTGAGATAGCAGGTATCACTAAATTCTATCCGGCCATCTGTCAGGTGGAGGGAAGTAGTTTTAAAGCAGGTGTTGTAACTGGTTTTCCTAGATAGTAACCCAGCCAGCCCACACTCGCACCCACACACAGTCTGTCACACCCTTACTGTTCTTCCCTGCCCTTTAAATGTTCTTCCTCTCTGTCAAACACACACACACAGTGTACAAAACTCACAAATAAACAGGTCTCTCCGAGTCATCCACCCACACACAACCTTTATAGTCTTCCCCAAATTGCACAGCTGTGGGATACACTTGCTGTATCACTTGTGTCACACAAACTCAGACACAAATATACAAATGTAAATGTGTTAGGAAACTGTTCTGGTTATTTGAAATGCACCTGTTTAACTGTGCCATCTACTGTGGACATTCTTCCTTGCAAATATGACCCTGGTAAACAAACATGTAGGCAGACCAACATTCTCCCACTTTTAACTATAGCAAGCAATACACACACAGTTCTCTGAGAGGACCAGGATGTGCTGACAGGAATGACCGGCAAAGATAGCCAGGTTGTTCATTTGAAACATGAAACAAGAAAATTTAAATTATATGACAGCATTTGTGACAAAGTTAAGGTTAGTGAGCCTAACCCTAGTCATACAAACAGACAATTCAGCTGTCAACAGCAAAGATCAGTGCCAGCTAAAATGAAAAAGCCACTACCTGAATGTTTTGTATACTGGATGAGTCAAAACTTGAGTCACTCACACCAGTGAGCCCAAATAATCTGTCACATTCACATATTATAGTCAATAAAACTTGTAAAACAGACAAGAGCTGGCAGAAAGCAAATGAAATGTTTACTCATGCATTAACATGACTGTCAACACAGGGTAAAATTGATGTTAAAGTGGATGGCTTTCACTGAAAGGCAACAAGTTTGCACCACTGTTATCTGAATTAAAGGGCCCATGGCACTTTTCCTTGTTTTCTGACTTACCTACAATATTACGACAGTGAATTATCATCTTAGACATGACCTAAAGCTCAAAAAAGAGGTGTACGTATGTTCTAGTATTTCTAGGAAGCAGCAGCTCGGTTTATACACCTCTAGTAAACTCTCACACGAGACATTTTTTTAACAAAATTAAGTATTACGTGATAGTTTAAGGATTTCCTTGACAATAAGCTTAAGAAACACGTGTCTTATTTCTGCAACGTTAGAGAGAGTTGTTGTAAGGCTGGAGAAGTTACTATGTCTGCATTATGCCAGTTAAAATATGGGGTTTCTCAATTACCGCTTTGTTTAGAGTGTTACACATCTCTTTTCATTGGTACATATACCGTTGTTACGGGTCGTCATGCACTTTCATATTCTGTCTCCAACATGTCAGGTAGGATTTGAGGTATTGTCATTGTTGAAAACATAACTTATTTATCTCTGTTTTTTGTTTCCCTGTCGAGATGCGTTACCCCTGTTCAAAACTCGGTGTCATGTAGTTGTGTGAAATTAGATTTCGAGAACACTGGCAACAAGAGTTGTGGGCATTCGCGAACTATCCTCCCGTTTTTAGAATGAGGCTCTCAGGTTTTTTTCATTCTGAAATAATTAGACTATTTTGAGTTATGATGGGTGCAAAGCTAATCTAGATGTACACAAGATTAAAAACATTAAATGATTGGAAATGAGCATGCTAGGGCACTTTAAGCGTTAAGTTCCTTAACAAGTGCTGCATAAATAAACATATAACAATAATAATAATTTCTAATCAGATTTGATAAAGGATTCAAACAGACTGATTCTGTAAGTGGATCTGGAATCAGATTCAGATTTGATAAAATGCTATCAAACTCCATCTCTAGTAGCATATAATGTAAAATGAAATGTACTGATGTATTTCTTCTAATTTTAACAGCCTGTCCAACTGCATCAAAATGAACTGAAAGCTTTAGAATAAGACGCCTACCGTCGGGGAGGATGCTGCTGTCGTTCTTTCCGCCTGCCTTCCCTTGGGTTGGGAGGTCTTCCAGGTTCCCGTTGTGGCAGGGGGGGCCCCGCCGCCTGCCCCGCCACCTGTGCCTCCAGCCTCCCGAGGATTGGTGGGAGGTTTACCTCCTTCTATCATGGGTTTGGAAGGCCTGCCCTGTAGTCCCCCAGGTAGAGGAGGACTGGGAGCTTTCTTAATGAGAGGCTTGTCCCTGCGAGGAGGGGGCATGGCACCCGGCTTCAGCAGCATGCTTAGGGAGGGAAAGGCACTTTTTGTTTTGTCAAGCATGCAGACAGTGATGTGCTAGCAACTAGTATGGCAACATAGCACACGGTACGTTATAAACATGCATGATGCAATAAGATGCTGGAGTAAGCCAAACTGCTTATTTATGACAATTTATGAATTAGACCACATTTATTACCACACAAAAAAAGGAATGTTAAATGGACATAAATGCTTAAGATTTACCCTTTAGCTAACACAGGAAGAAGATCTGGTTTATTCTTAGCATTCCTCAGTGACGCTGGACTTGGTGAGGGAGATGTGGAGAATGATCGAGACCTATAAATCAAAAGTATTCATTATATTGTCAATATGCAGCTTAATTGCAACACTGGGACTCTATTTCGCTGCCAGTGCAATATCTACATCACTTCATTCACATTCAGTTGCAGTGTGATTTTCCTTGGGTGCATGTTACTTTTTTTGTGCATTGGTGTGTTTAGCATTTCCTGCCATGAACGAATGGAATCATGCTGAGGTGTGAGGAGAGGCACAGTTTTGGCGGTGAGTATTCAAAATAGGCAGCGCAGCGCAATTTTGGTGTTCATTTTGAATAGTGATAACACCTGCTCAGACCGCCTCTTATCAAATCAGCAGGTCTATCCTGACAAGCACATAGGCTGGGAAGCACAAGATCAGGTAACCAAATGAATTTTAACAGCCACACCAACTTGAAATTAACCCTTAAATCTACAACTGATGTGCTGAAATTCATTATCTGAATAATTTATGAAATATGTGCAATTATTCAGAAAAAGTATAGGATAAACTCGTCCTCAGTCTGTGGCTATAGGTATATGGTCAAACAGTGCTGACGCTTCAGGACGTGTTTCATATAACATTCTAGGAGCATTTGCTTTTGGAATGCTGCACCCCCACTGCAGGACCACTGCATCCTGTCAATATGGATTGACGAGCAATCATCCACCAATGCTATGTAGGACTTATAGCACTGTTCATGCTGAAGCCAACAGACTGCAGGAGCTGCTGCCATAAAACAGAGAATGACTCTATGGAGACTCCAAGGAGTCAGTGGTAGAGAAAAAACAATTAGGTGACGATTTGTGAGGACAGGGATTTTCCACGTTCAGAGGCAGCACAAACAAGTTGTGAACATAACATTAAATCATGACTTTTTAAGTGAATATAGCAAATGTTAGCAATGTGCTGCTTTTCTACACATCCAGCAGGTACTGAGCAACACTGGGATTCATTTGGTGTCATGTTTCAGGCCACTTGGCAAAGTTTAGTCTGACATTCACTCTGTTTAGCCCAGTTTTCATTCTGTGCAAATTCATGACAGATATACTGTATCTGGCTCCTTAACTTCTAGGCATTCCAATATATTCACTGCGGGTTTTAGACCTTTTGTCTGTCTTTTTTGTGAAAACAACTGCCTCGTGTCTGAACACAAGAGCAGTAACTTCAAACTGGCCGAACAGTTAAACACTGAGTTTTCACATTGTCATTTGATCTATTCTTATAAAAACATCAATTATAGTGACTTTAAGTAAATCTGCAGATTTTCCATCTTCTATTACCAACCCTACTTTATTAGCCTCTCAAAATTCATCCGGCTGATGCAGTTTTTGGGCTTTGTTGTTAAAACTCCAAATTCCCAAGTAGCATTTACACAGTGACACTGTTGGTGGAGCTTTTTGTTTTCATGAACATTATTTATACTCTGTGTCCACTTTATTAGGTACACCTGTTCAATTGCTCATTAATGCAAATATCTCATCAGCCAATCGGTAGCAACTCAGTGCATTTAGGCATGTGGACAAGGTCAAGACAATCTGCTGAAGTTCAAACCGAGCATCAGGATGGGGGAGAAAGGTGATTTAAGTGACTGTGAACATGGCATGGTTGTTGGTGTCAGGCATGCTGGACTGAATATTTCACAAACTGCCGCATTCTGAACCATTTGGAGACAAGCAAGTGACGACTGGCTGACTCCAACATACAGTGCGTTACAGTAATCCAAACGTGATGTAATAAATGCATGGATTACTGTCTCAAAATGCTGGCGTGCAAGAAAAGGCTTTACCTTCCCTATCTGCCTAAGGTGGAAAAAACTAGACTTCACAACCGCATTAATTTGGTGGTCAAATTTCAGACCAGAATCCATTTTTACACCCAAATTCAAAATTGTCTGTTTCTCATACCGCACCAGGTG